GTACGGGGGCGGTACGGAAAGAGGATTTAAGGGTACGGGATATGAGGATTTTTANCAAAAAAAAAACAAAAAAAAAGAAGAAAAATTGTGCGTCTTAAAAGTTATTTATCAGGGAAAGATAACACCTGCTGCTTATGCTCACATGTGCGCAATAACTCTTTTGGGTTTGACATGCATTCAAACAGTTTGAATGTTCTAAGAATGAAATATATGTTACTGAATAGGTTGAAGAACTTGAAGTAAGCTTTAATTCTTTTTTGTTCAGTTGTATGAGGTATTCTTGAGTTAAGTGATTTGGATAAATTGGCTAATCACCCTTCGAGTGACTTTCTTCTACTAGTGGGTGGCAGTTGATTTCCATGTTTTATCATTTTTTTAAGGGGAGTAAATCATAGTTCTAATTTTTTTGTTAGGGTGCAATCCTTCCAACATTTCTTTGAACTTCTTGTATGTTAGTCTTTAGTCCTTGTAATGGATGATACTACAACTGGTAGTGCATCATTACAAAAGTTCATAGATTGACACTTTCTTGTTGCAGGTACATGATCTCCTCAAACATCGGTGAGGTTGCCTCTATTTTCCTTACTGCTGCGCTAGGCATTCCTGAAGGTCTTATCCCAGTGCAACTCTTGTGGGTCAACCTGGTCACTGATGGACCCCCTGCTACAGCATTGGGATTTAATCCACCAGACAAGGATATAATGAAGAAACCACCAAGGAGAAGCGATGACTCATTGATCAGTGCCTGGATTTTATTTCGCTATCTGGTTGGCTTTACATTTTTTGTTATTTGTTTATTTTTAGTTTTATTTCCCAATTCCTGCTTTCGTATGTGAGAATGAAATCCTTGTGCTTATCATTTCTAAATGCTTGATGCAGGTTATTGGATTGTATGTTGGAGTTGCTACTGTGGGAGTTTTTATCATCTGGTTCACCCATGACTCTTTTCTTGGCATTGATCTAAGTGGAGATGGCCACAGTCTTGTTACCTACTCCCAGCTTGCTAATTGGGGTCAGTGCAAAACCTGGGATAATTTTACTGCATCACCTTTCACTGCAGGGTCACAAGTGATCAGCTTTGACAAACCATGCGATTACTTCGTGGAAGGCAAGGTGAAAGCCATGACCCTTTCCCTCTCTGTATTGGTTGCGATTGAAATGTTCAACTCTCTTAATGCCCTTTCGGAAGATGGAAGCCTCTTAACAATGCCACCATGGGTCAACCCATGGCTTCTTTTGGCCATGTCTGTCTCATTTGGTCTGCACTTCTTGATCCTCTACGTGCCTTTCCTTGCTCAAGTATTTGGTATCGTTCCACTGAGCCTGAACGAGTGGCTGTTAGTATTGGCTGTTGCATTGCCCGTCATATTAATTGACGAGATTTTGAAGTTTATTGGAAGGTGCACGAGTGGTATTCGAACGAGTGCAAGGAGACCCATAAAGCGGAAGGAAGAGTAGAGGTAAAAGCAATGGACTACTTTTCCCCTTGTTATTGGTATACCACAAATGTTTTGGGACTTGTTATTAACAGAGTTTATGTTATTCGTACCCGCAAGTGGGTTTGATTAGCCTATACTCTTGGTCCTTTAACCCAGCCCAGTCGCTGTTAAATGATGAGGTTTGGTGTGGACCTTGCCAAATTTAATTAGATTCATTAGACATTTTGCAACACTCAGATGATAGTATTAGTTTTAATATTGACGTATTTTCTGGATGAATTACTTTTCCCCTTGTTTAACAGGACGATAAGTATCATACCTATTCTCTCCTATCTGACCTCTGGTGTTAGAATTCAGAACCAAAATCACCTGTCCTAAACACCTAATAAATTTCTATTGCTTCATGCCTTCTATTAGTATTTACAACCTAATTTTAATATTGCTTCATGCTTTCTATAAGTACTGACCATATTTCTATAACATTTTATGTAATACAACTTTGTATTATTGAAGGCAATCCTAATTCAACTTTAGAATATGTGACCTTGGCCTCGTTTATAAAACGGAATCAGAAAATCTCCTATTTTCAAGCAATTTATATCCCCTAGTCCAATTATTCTGGCGCTATATAAGCTAGGCAATAAAAACAAGAAAGGAAAAAAAGAGATTTCATATTGCGCTATATTAGGGACGGATTTGATCTCCTACTTTATTTCCTTCTCCCACGCAAACACACGTCCTTTTCTAATCGACCAAATTCTTTGAATTGAGCGATTTGGTGAAGTGAGGAATCTATGGACGTACAGAGGGATATCAAGTTAAGATCAAGAGACTGGGCAGGGCTTTCTGATTTGGCACTCGACTTGATTTTGTTATGTGCGCTTTAGCGTAGTGTGCAAGTCATGGTTTTCCTTCGTATCCAACAATTACAACGCATCAATTCAAGTGAACTTCCTTTGTTAATGATCTTTAGAGGTCACGACAACTGGACCACTAACACAAGCTTATATAGTGTAACCAAAGATAAAATACTATTGGATTTCAAGTTACCATTACATTGGGTTGAAATATATTGTGGTTGGTTTATCAATGTAATCTCCAAGATCATATCGGCCTTTTCAATCCCTTTACTGGTGAGATAATCAATCTTCCTTGTTTTAACTTTCATGCCTATAAAGTTATTCTATCAAAGAATCCTTCAACCAATCCAAATAGTTTTGAGATCGTCGTGCTTGTGACTACAAGCAAGTGGTCCATGTATAAATTGGCTATCCTAAAACCTGGTAGTAAAACTTGGATTTTTACTTGTCCTGAATGTACTTATGACCTTGTTTGTGATATGATAGACCATGGTGGGAAATACTACATTGTGAATGATAAAGGTGGCGTTTCATCTATTGAAAAAACTACTTTAGAATCTGACAATTTAGTATATCCAGATTCTAATAGGTATTCCTCTGGAAAATTTTATCTCGTAAAGACGACAACTAATGAGCCGCTAAGGGTTGAAATATGTCGTGAGCCATGCATTAAGTGTTAAGATTTCCAAGTTGGTCACAAGCCCAACGACCCGAAAATCCATGTTTGTTCTTGTGTGAGTGTGGTTCCATATCCAAATTTTTGGGATGTAAACCAAATTCCATATACTATATCGACATTGACAGATACAGTTCAAGTTCGTGTGATTATTATCTGAACAGAATTGACCTTCAAGATGGCAGCGTCCGCACCCTTTTCTCTTTCAACGAGCCGCCTATTACTCGTGACTCGATGATTCTTCATTCCTACTCCAAAGTTTACTACTACTTCATATAGATAGGTTTGCATACACATATATAGTTAGCTGCACACAACATGTAGTACTGCATTTAAACTTTATTATTTTTCTTAGTATCAGTCTATTAATTTATATAAGTCGGAATGTTTTATGGTGTTTTCTTGGAGAATTATCCATTATAATAGATTAGAATGACCTCGGAATTCTTATTTGTACAAATGGTACTTCGACCTTTGAACAAGCATGAAGTGATTAATATACTTCTTTATTTTTGAGTTGTTCTGCTGACTACTGAATCGGTCGCCCAAGATCTTTGGTCTTTATCCGGATCTAATGAAAAAAATGGGATCACTTCTTATGGACTCGTTGAGAATGATTCTGACCTATTTCACAGATTATTAGAAGTAGAAGGCGCTCTAATGGGATCTTCATGGACAGATAAAGATTGCAATCAATTTGATTTATGATCAATGTGACATTGCTTCTTCGGCCTACAAGGGCCAATAGAGCTTTGAGATATCAAGTTCATCTTAATATTTGTCTTTTTATCTAAATTATTCTCATCAAAGATTTTTTTTTCCTTCTAACAAGACCATTAATTATACATCGCATTGCTTATTTGTTCATATTATATATCCCATCGCGTTAAACCTCCACCGGGTTTACAGCCTCACGCTATCGATCACGGGTTAGTTGTTCAAATTAGTTATTTGCATTTATCTACAAAAACTTGAGTTTCCAAGTAATCTAATGTTGCTTCAATCCTGTTACAATTTCAGTGCATTAATAAGTGCACTGTATAATGTCCCTAAAGGATCTAAAATTGTTTGGTCCGAGTCCATGAAAAAGATGCTGTGAACCAAGTCCTAAGTAGCAATTCAATCAAGTTACAAACATAACTGATGATTGCTGCGAAACAGTTTGGATAATTGTTGATCAACCAGGGGGTAATGGTATTGTTACAACTATTCCTGCAGTCTGATAATTGCAGGATTGATCACGATTTAAAGACTGAGTGTACCTCGAAAAATTTATGATGTTAAGAGTCTTAAAAGATAAATGCATTAACACTTACTGGGTATGTGTAACAGTTGCTTTTGGATGGTTGATCATAAAAATTATAAAAACAAATTCCTTTGTTGGACATAGTCCTCTCTTAAGAGTATTATTATACAGATTATCAGTTCCTATACACAATTTAAAATTGGCATAGAAGGACTAGAATTTTGGCATACATGTCCATAGAATGCAATCATACATGTACATGCTTGACTTCATAAGGGAACAAATGTGTCTCAATTCATGTATTATTTTTCTACACAAAGATCCAATTGCGAAGGGAGAAAGATGTTGGCTAGTTTCAGCACTGATGGGAGTAGGGAATTATCTCCAGAAAATGGATTTTTAACAGCGTGTAGTAAGCTGAAAAGTAAAGGAGAGTTGGGTGGAATATTTGTGTGGAGAGATGATGATTCTAAATCAAATGGTATCAAATATGAGAAACAATCACAAACATAACTAGCCATACCCCACTAATGCTTTACCCTTTGTACGACTCTTCTATACACTATTTGTATAATAGTCTTACAATCTAAAACTATGCACCTCTTTGTTTGTAAATGATTATGAGTATTTGAATGTATATACACTGCTATTTGGTTTATAAATATTCTGAGTTTTGAAACAAAACAGATACAGACTTTGTTAGCAACAAGTAAATTAACAGAACAGCTAAAATCATTAATCAAAAAGGGATAGGATTGGTCTAATTGACAACTCAATAGTAAGAAAAATAAAAGTTGTGCAATTTCATTAATTAAGCAATACCATTCTTGCAAAAACTACTTCTATTAAGAACATAGTTACATTAAACAAAAACCAACAACATTAATTCACACGTTCTAACCACCAAATCCATAGAGAGTACGGCCTTGCCTTTTGAGCGCGTACACAACATCCATAGCAGTCACCGTCTTCCTCCTCGCGTGCTCAGTGTAAGTCACAGCATCACGAATCACGTTTTCCAGAAAGATCTTCAGCACGCCACGTGTCTCCTCGTAGATCAGTCCACTGATACGCTTCACTCCTCCTCTACGCGCCAAACGCCTGATTGCTGGCTTTGTGATACCTTGGATGTTATCGCGGAGGACTTTACGGTGTCGTTTCGCTCCTCCCTTTCCTAATCCCTTTCCTCCCTTCCCGCGTCCTGACATCTTCAATCGATTTCAATTCTCTGTAAAAATCATTTCATTTACCAAAAATCAACAAATAGCAGCTAAATTTCTTAAAATCAAAGTAAACACATCTCAAAATTTTCATTCTTCAAATGGAAATAGACAGAAACTTTACACTGTTAGAATTAATTATTAATTAATAAACAAAATCAGAAAACTAACGTGAAGAACGCGAGAGAGAGAATGGTAAACCTAACAATAATTGGAAGCTTAGGAGCTTGAATACTGAAGAGAGAGATGATAATGGAGATTGATGAGCTAAATTGTTGGGATATATAAGGAGGGTGACGCTGGTGAGAACTTCGATCTATGTCGTGATCACGTGGATTAATATTTGTCGTCGATGAGAATCTTTGACGGTTGAGATGAAATGTAATGAAAGTGACGAGGATTGATGACCTGGCAATCTGTGTTTGTTTCAATTGAGGATCCAAAATTTGAATGTTTTTCTCCTACTGTGGGGGTGGGAGAAATAGAAATATGAGCGGGACTGATTCGCGATTTACCGCCATGGATGAATAGTTGAAAATGGGCCATAAGAAACTGGGTTTATGGTTTGGGCCTACCATTCTGGTTCAGTCTTCTCGGGTATAGCCCAAAATTGTAAGGAAACTTTTAATAACTGTCACAATTTAAAAGAAATATAACAAATTCGTAGCATGAAATTTAATATTACAATTGTGGCAAAAAAAATATTTATATTTGTAGCACACAGTTCCATTAAAATAGGAATATTAATTATTAATCTCTAAACATAAGCAATTTGAATGAAAGTTAATAATTATTTGTACAAAAATCCTGCGTTTTTTTCTCTTTATCTCTTAGCTTTCCTTCTTTTTTTTCATCTTCTTAATTTTATTTTCTGTCGAAACCAATATATTTTTTAAATTTGTTTCATTTGTTTTCTTTTTAATTATCTTTCTTAAGTTTTTCTCTTCCTTCTTTCTTCCTTTCTTAACATAAAGATCTTATTTCGATAATAATATACGTTAATACATATAAAATATATAAAAATATATACATAAAAAATATATTTTTAATTAAAATGAAACTTAGACATGTGAAATATACATAAAAAATATATCTTAAATTTAATAAAGATGGCATATAAATATACAAAAAATATATATATAAAAAATACATCATGAATTAAAATGGCACTTGACATAAAATATATTTGAAATATACATTAAAAATACATCTTAAAATAAGATGGCACTTCACAACTAAATATACAAAAATTATATATATAAAAATACATTTTTAATTAAAGTGATACTTGATATACAAAGTATAAAAGATATATAAATCAATACATCTTAAATTTAGGTGGCATTCACATATGCATCAAATTTTAAAACATGGAGTGAAGAAGATGAATGTTGGCCTTAATTTTTGTAATATGTTAATAATGAAAAGAAAAGTGCTCTTTATGAAATAAACAATAAATGATGTTATTCTTTAAAATAATAGTTAAAAAAGGATCAAGTTTGTAAAAAACTCAAATTGTTGGATAATCCCCGCTTTTTTAAAGAGACTTTTACCTATATGTACTACATTAGAAATTTATTTATCTTTACTGTTTAGCTGATGGTGCTACATCGACAGAAGTGGAGCCATTGAACATTTTACTTAAATTTCGAGTTTCACGGAGATGTGCGTCCAGGATTCAATATTCAACAAGTTCGAAAGTGCAATTTTTATAATAATCAGCAAAATGTAGTCTACAATGTTACCACACTATTGGTGGTCATATTCAAATTCTTTTTTCTGCACAACTCTTAAAATAATAATTTTGGAAAAGAAATAATTATGACCAGTTGATTGTAATGATTGGTCTAGCTTACTAGTTTTCAACTTGAATTTTCGCCCACTGAAATTCAAGAAATAAATAATTCCTGCAAATTCTTAGCCCGAGAAAATGAACTACCTCATCGTTACTATTGTTTTTTTAATACATGAAACATGCAAAAACAAATTGTACTTATGAAAGATCATCTTTGAAATGTGAGTAATTAATACAAAGTTTCTTTGAAACAAATTGTACAGATACCTAATATTCATTTGACTGTAATGCCCTCTTATGGAAAATATGAATGTGAAACTTACAACTGAACTACTCCTTTTGAGCTAAGCTGGAGAAACTCCTGGAAACTTGGTACGAAGAGAAGTTAATCATAATTTCTATACCAATTATTTTAACTTGCAGCTATGGTAATCTTCTATACCAATAATAAGCTGAAGTTTGTTACCTATTTATTTGCGTATAATGGTAAAAATTTGAAACTATATCTAGTCCGGTGGTCACAATGAATTTAGTGTTCTGGTGGATTCAATATGCAAATGAACATCACTTGCTCTGTAATTGAATCACCTCCTCAACTTGTGAGGCTAGTTGGGATTGCACTGAAACAAGAGGCTAGTTTTAAACAATATTAAAGCAAAGATATGAAATCTAAACCGGCTAGCAATAAGGAAATACCAGAACAATCTAAGTTAGATTTTTTCAATTACAAAAACCTACAACCCTACAGCCTCTTTAAGAAAGTAAGTTAGTAATCCAGTTAGGAAATAAATGCAATCTAAAAGGCGCCATTCCTATTTAAACATAAGAACACTCGAAAAATCAAACCAATAGCAACAGAAATGGTGAAACTGAATCAGTCACTAATATTCATTGCAATAAAGCAAATTTCAGAAGTACTGAATCAAGCATCAACCAAATTCAGCTTACAAAAACGACCAATACTACTGCAAAAGAACCCTATCACCAACAGGTAATCATACTAATTACACCAAAACAGATACCTAATCAATAGCAAAACAAACCCCATATACCACATATAGTAATCATTCTAGTTCTTTTCTTGACAGCAAGACTTTTGCAGACAAAACAAAAGTCAAAAACCAAATCTCCCAATTAACCTCCAAATCCATACAAAGTCCTTCCCTGTCTCTTGAGAGCATAAACAACATCCATAGCAGTCACAGTCTTTCTGCGAGCGTGCTCAGTGTATGTAACAGCATCACGAATCACATTTTCCAAAAAGATCTTCAGCACGCCACGTGTCTCCTCATAGATGAGTCCACTGATACGCTTCACTCCTCCTCTACGAGCCAAACGCCTAATTGCTGGTTTTGTGATACCTTGGATGTTATCACGAAGGACTTTACGGTGTCGTTTTGCTCCTCCCTTTCCTAATCCTTTTCCTCCTTTTCCACGTCCAGACATTTTCAATCAGCCTTTAATTTCTCTGATTCAAAACAGCAAATATGAACAATTTAGTAACATAATCAACCATATAAACGTAATCCATACAGATTTTCAGATTATTGATGCATATATATATATATATATATATAGCAAAAAAGTTAAACATGAAAACAAAACCCTAGGTTTGTAAAAATGCTGAAAGCAAAGACAAGTTTCAGCTATTAACTGATAAAAACATTTAAAAGATAAAAATGTCAAATTATAAACTGAAATGTGTAATTAAATTATGTAAAGGTGAACCTGAAATTAAAAGTTCCTTAATATGAAAGATTGTGAGAGATAATGATGAGAACGATGAGGAGTTGGGGTAAATTTGGGTTTATTTATAGATGTTGATTATTTGTGATGGGGTTGGCTTCGATCCGCGTGGTTGGGAAAAGAAGCGATCGTTGCCATCCGATCATACAATTTGAACGGTCTAGATGCAGTACAGAAAGAGTGACGAGGATCGCCAGCGTGGCATACATTATTGGTTTTTGTTTTGTTTTTCGGGTTTGAAATTAGGGTGGGAAAGACTCAAATTGGTGAGCACTGAGCGGGACAATTTAGTTGACGTGGGTTGGGGGAGGGGGATGGGTTTTGGGCTGGATGGGCCATTAAGCACTTACACAAATAGCCTATTTTCATTTCATTGTTTAAGTTCTAACCTCATTTAAATAAATTGTGCAAATATAACTTCTGAACCAGGAGTTGGAGCTCAATTCCTGATAAAATTGTGTCATAACTTTTGAACAAATTATTTACTGTTATGGATTCATTAAATTTTGTGGATGTCCGGTAACCTTCATGATCTATTTCAATATACATTATGTTGTAACATTCACATGTAATTGGACCATGTATATTTGGGTACTTCTAGTTGTACAAATACAGAATAAAAGGAATAAATATCTTCGGACTTCTCTATCAATTGTTATCTTCCTTTTAAAGCTTTCGTTTATTATAATTATAACAATCTTTTATAGCACATTGTCAGCACGAGTCTCTAACCAATTAAAATTAATCGATTCAATGGTTTCTAATCTTTTTCCCTAAAAGAGTTGAGCTAATTTTCTTTCCGATTCAGCTTGCAAAGAAACCAAAAGGTATATGCTACTTGTTGGCTAATCTCTATCCATGGAACCTCTTTGTGGAAGAAGGTTTGAGTTACACTTTACAGCTTTATTATAATTGTTTCTGTGATCTAACATTGGACAATATGATTACCATTTGTCACTATAAAAGTTTGTCATGATCTCCCATATTCAAAAGATGTCATTTTGTTTTTGAGGAGAATCTGCAAAAATAACGTAGAAATTGGCAATGTTTGATTCTCTAACTCAAAGTCATTTTTCCTTTTGACGATTGTTTAGTTGTCCTTGTCAAAATTTTATTTTGCCATCATTTAGATCTTTAACCATTCTCTTGGAGGAATATCATTTTAATAGAGGAACTATATAGTTGGTTACACAACATGACTCAATTCAATAGATTGTTAGTTGCTAATGGTATTGCATGATAAAACGATATGCAATAGGCCTATATTCGTATTAATTAACCAGTGTTGTGCTAGATACATTTAGTGCCTATTGGCTATTAACTCATTTAATTCAGTAACGCATAATATATAATAATGGACCATGCTAGGTTTAAACATGATTTGGCGTTATCTAATATACGAGTTTGGTCAAGGTATATATATATTATGATAACTATCATATTTGTGCACCACTTCATTTGCTTTGCTCACATTAACTATCGGACATGAAATTGTCTTGCGTTATATAGTATATATCGATGCATAACTGTTGGCCAACACTACCCTTATTACTTATAGAATGCAGAATAATCATTTTATATAAGTTCATGTGAACCAGCAAAATTGATTGCATTAGAGTTTTGAACTTCGGAGTGCACATGCTACTAACACAGATATACTATTCTATCCAACTATAGATCTTAAAACCAAGTGCACTAAATGCTTAAGCTAGCGGTTGGCCATAAATTCCTAAATTTATTCTAAAAAATTTGATTTTGGTGAAGTTTGGTTTGAAGATGAAAATGTGTTTGGACATCTGTTTTGGGTGAAGTTTGGTTTGGAAAAAAACATGAAACATGACTTATACCCACAAGTTCTAAAAACTATCACAAATACCCAACAGTACCATTATCAATAACATTAATTATATTATCGCAAACCATAGTCCTGAACATAAATAAATTTGATACAAAATTATCATTTTTATAATGAACTACATGATACATTATCGGATGACCGAGAAGACGAAGCAACATCGTTATAAAATAATAAATGATGGGCTCTTTTATAAAATACAAAAGTTTGGGGTAATTTTTAAAAAATATAATAGTGATATTTTTGAGCTGGTTTTGGGATTTGGGATTTGGGATTTGGCCAAAATATAGGCAAAATCTATGGCTAAACATATGTTTGTCAAATAAAACTCAAATTTATTTTGACAAAATCTATGGCCAAACGGTCAATAAGTGTTTTGATCCCCAGTCTCATTTCATCACATTTTTATAATAATTTTATTATTGAAGCATTTGGTATATTAAAGTCAAGGCAAGTCACATCATTACATCATTTGTTTGATTTGTAAGTGACAATAATGACTGGATCACACGCTCATGCTTACAAGATTTTTACATCGTAAGTAAATATTACTCAACCATGTTTATAATTATTTCTCGTTTGAAATTATGTGATCAAATAATCACTTATAACATATTAGAGAAATATTTTCCATGTTACATGCCTCAAAGTTTTTTCTCAAGTAGTAATATTTCAAAAGAAATTTTCAAACATCGGATTCGAGTCCTGGTGCACCATGATGATAAGATGTTGGATTTGAGTCCCAACGTATTATGGCTTAACATGCTTTTATGAGGGTAAGACATTGGGATTTGAGTCTGAATGCACCACACTAATAATATAACGATGATTGAGATAAAATAATATACTTTTAATAAAAAATTATGAAACCCGTCCCACTGGATCTGATTCATTCCCTGAAGCCAATGTGGTATTCATAGATCAAAAGTTTGAAAGGAGACTAAATACTAATTCTTTGGGCCGTATGAATATACATGAGCATGGCATGAGATCATCATGGTTGTATTTATAATTAGGAGAATATTAAAGGTTCTCAAAATAATTCTTCAAAATGTGAAGGTAATATTTGTCGTTGATGTGGTATGAATGGGCATTGGACATGTAAATAACGTACGCCTGAATATTTTATCAAGTTTTATCAATCCTCCATCAAAAGAAAGAAAATCAAAGTAGAAGCATAATTGACCTTCCAAATTAATGTTGAGGCAGGCCGTATAAACAAATATGATAAAAGTTGAGGCAAAATGAGAAACGTATCTGAGAAGTCATGAGACATGTCTAGATTGTGACCATATAAAATAAACTTATGAACACGAACACGCTCATGATTGTTAAAATCTCACAACTAGTCTCTAAAGAAGTTTGAAAGAAATAAAAAGTATGAATATTACTATGTGGCCGCATGAATGTGTCATTGATCACGTATATATTTTACATCAAAAATATGTTGCCAGGTCTTTTGAAAAGTTATTAAAGGGTAAAAGTAAAGCAAGAAGCAAATTTTGGTTGTAATGATTTTAACCATGACAATAATGATATTACTTTCTCTTTGAAGAAGATGTTCGTCATATGGATGGTAACAAATATGAATATAAAAAGTTATCCGTTTTTCATGCGGCTTGTACTACACATGTACTGGTATAGTCGAATCACAAGTTATAGTTATTATTTGACATGATCGGTTGGGCCATCCCGATTATAATATGCTGCGCAAAATAATTGAGAATTTATATAGTCATTCATTGAAGAACCAGAAGATTCTTCGAACTAAAGAATTATCTTGTGCTGCATGTTCTCAAGGCAAACATATTATTAGACCATTAGCAATTAAAGTTGGGGTTGAATCCCCTATATTTTTAAAACATATACAAAGTGATATATGTGGGCCCATACACCCTCCCTATGGACCATAAAGATATTATATGATTTTGATATATGCATCTATAAGATGGTCATATGTATACTTGTTATCAACTTGAAATTTGGCATTCGCGAGGTTGTTGGCCGTATTAATGCAATTAAAAGCACGATTTTCAGACTATGCAAGTAAGACGACTTGTCTTAACAATGATGGTGAATTTACATCCCATGCCTTTAATAATTATTGTATATCAAATGAGATTTTATTAAACACATGATTGCATATGTTCATACTCAAAATGGTCTAGCAGAATCATTAATCAAACGCCTCCAATTAATTTCTAGACTAATGCATATGAGAATAAAAATTCCATCTCGGTATGTGGTTGTCACGATTCGAAATTTTCACCTTCGGGACCGTGATGACGCCTAACATTTCACTTGCTAGGCAAGCCAACATTAGAATAATCTTATCTATTTTTAAACAAATTGAATTAAACGAAAGTCAATTACTGAAATAAAGTGCGGAAGACCATAACTACCGAATCATCAAAATACATCCCCGAATCTGGTGTCACAAGTGCACGAGCTACTAGAATAATACAAATAAAGGTTTGAATAAAATTTAAGCTGTTTGAAAGATAATACACAGCTAAGGCAAGATAAAAGGGGACTTCAGAACTGCGGACGTTGTGCAGTTATACCTCAAGTCTCCTCTAGATAGCTGAATCCGAGCAAGTTTATGGTACGCCGTTGGGACCTACTCCAAAATCTGCACAAGAAGTGCATAGTGTAGTATGAGTACAACCGACCCCATGTACTCCGTAAGTGTTGAGCCTAACCTCGATGAAGTAGTGACGAGGCTATAACAAGACACGTACGTAAACAACATGTTCAAGCATATACACATACGAAGCAACAATAACACAATAATTAACAATTATAAATCTGAGAGGGAACATGCGAAGGGGGATGATATAATAATTTTAGCAGGAGAAGTGTCACGTAGCAGCCAATTTATTCATCAACAATAAAATGAGCAACTGATAATATGAAAATGGCACGGCACCACCCTTCGTGCTTTTACTCTCATTCTTCCCATAAATTGATAAATAAATAATAATAATTGGCACGACATCACCCTTCGTGCTTTAACTCTCTTTTGACACGGCATCACCCTTCGTGCTTTAACTCTCTTTGAAAATGGTACGGCATCACCCTTCGTGCTTTAACTCTCTTTGAAAATGGTACGGCATCACCCTTCGTGCTTTTATACTCTTTCTCACCATGACAAGGATAATATAAATAATATAAATAGCACGTCATCACCCTTCCTGCTTTTACACTC